TAGGCCCGATCTTGTTGTACGGCTCGCGCTCGCCACTCTTCACCTTGGGGCACTCCGGGTCGCCACGCCAGTGGCCAGGCTGATCGCAGTCAGCACACCGGCTGTTAGCCTTGCGCTGGTCTGTCGGCTTCCGACCAGCCTGGAAGGAGCCGCTAGCGTTGATCTTCTTGGGGTCCCGCTGCCGAGGAGCAACGAACCCGCGCTTCTGACGCTGTACCGCCGTCTTCTGCTTGGCCCTCCAGCCGGCCAAGAACGCTTCCTGAAGATCCTCCGGTGCCTCGTACTCCTCGTCGTCAGGCCCGTCGTTGTCCGACACCAGCTCCTCGTCGACCTCAGCGCCGTCCTCGAAGAGGGTGCCCTCGGCCCCTCCATGGTCTCCATCGTCCTGGTCGTCTGCTTCATCTTCGTCATGATGCGCCTCCTCGAGGTCGCCGTGGTGTTCATCGTAGTCTTCGCCGTTCTCTACCTCGTGTACGTGCTGGCCAGGGCGTCCTCGCAGCACGCATGGCCTACGAGCCATGGGAGGGTGCGGATAGCGACCGCCCGAACTCCCAGAGGAGCGCCCGTGCTCACGCTGCGCCGCAAACGGCGAGCGGCGAGGGAGCACTGAGCGCTTCTCGGTGTCGTGCACCTTCGAATAGGCTGCCTTCAGCACAACCTCCATCCGCTTCGAGTCGTAGATGCCGCCACAGTTGAAGAGCACCTGCGCTCGCTCCTTCTGCGACAGTCCAGCGCCACGAAGCATCTTGCTTGCCAATGCGCGATCGCTGATCGCTGATGTGGGATCCTCGAGCTGCAACTCCATGCGCTTCTTGCGCAGGTACGTGGTCCAATCCATGATCGGCTGCCCAGCTCGACGGTGTGCTCGCTCCCAATCCTGATGCACCTGATCGAGGCGCTCGTGATCCATCTTCTCGAAGGCGTCGTCGTAGATAGCAAAGATGGTCTCGAGCGTCTCCTCGCGTCGGAGGTCCGACGCGTCAAGCACCTCGATGAGCTCTTTGGCTCGACCTGTCACTTGACTGTAGATGATCAGGCCCAGCTCCACGTCTGAGAGCTGATTGAGGTTGCGGATGACTTCAACCTCCTTGCGCCACTCTCGGTACTTCTTAGTACTCGTACCGACTCCACCATCGAACTCTGGGAGCCTCACCTGCGACAGCAGTAGACGTGTACGTCTGGGACCGCCGTCGCCACGATCCCGATGCAAGGCCAAGAGCTCCCGCTGGGTCTCGGCCATCACGCGCAGGACTGCATGCAGGTCCGGGGGACCTGTGCCTGCGGAGGACGCAGCCTCCACGTCTGAGCCGTCGTGGCTGGTGGCCATGGCGGCCCACGCGGGTGGTCACAACCACCGAAGCAGAGCACGCAGTGCGTCCGCTGGAGCTTACTAGCTCCGCTACCAATGTCAGTGCAGTTGTTTTCAGCAAAGACCGCGCGGCAGTCCAACTGCGGGTGCGTCCCAGGGCCCTAGGACTAGGGCCAAAACAGCGGCGGGCAGCGTGCATGCCACAAAACAAGACAAGCGTGTACAACATACACACATGGTGGCACGGGCGGCAGAAGGGCAGGGGAGTGCACTCTTCACATATAGATCACACACATACATACATGTATACACATGCGAGTGCCCAGCCAGGGCACGAGCCGATCCCGAGGTCCCAGCAGGCTCCAAAGAGCGCTCCAGGATCGCTTGGAGTGGCCTCCAAGAGAGCTCAACATGGTCCGAGACGGTCAAAGAGCGATCCAAAGACGCCAAAGATGGCCTCCAGACAGCCCGCAGCGCCTGCACGACGCCCCGAGAGAGCTTTAAGAGACCTCCCAAGAGGGCCCACAGAGACAGAAATGTGCGTTTCCTTTCATTGTTGCAGGTTTTTCGCGCTCCTGCCTTTTCGGCTTAGCGGGGCTGTCAGACGGCCCAAGAGGCTTCCAGGATCGCCCCCATGCGGCCCCAAATGCATCCAAGAGCGCCCAAGACGGCCCCAGAGGGACCCAAGACGGCCCCACAGGCCTCCAAGATGGCCGAGGAGGCTACCAAGACGGCTCCAAGAGCGGGCCCAGACGGGGGGCACGGACGGACATTTCGAGTTCCCGGCCCCAAGAGGCGCCCAGGAAGGTCCCGGTGGCCCCCAAGCGCCCCCCAAGAGCCCCTAAGAGGCCCCCAGAAGGCTCCCCCAGAGGCTTCAAAACTTCTCCCCATAGGCTCCCTCCAAAAAGACCCCAAGAAGTATCCATGAGGACTTTGACCCACAACAAATGTACGTCTCGAAACTCTGCGGGAGTTCTTTTGAACAATCTTGGCGCTCTCTGGAGCAGTATACTGGCTCTCTTCTACAGGGTGCGAGCCACATCTCCAAAGATCTCCTCGAAGACCGTTCTGCCTGCCCCACCGTTCTTCCTGGGCACGCGCACAACACCACGCAGCCACAGTGATGAGAAATGGGCCAGCGGAATGAGCGAAACGATTAAACATATCCGACACCTACACACAACTTTACACACGTGTACGCATGTATACACATGTATACATATCCAACGTACACGAGTATATACCTACATGCATACATACATACATGCATGCATGCATGCATACATGCATACATACATACAAACATATGTATACATGTATGTATATACACACATATCAGAATGAACGGGCCGCACGATCATTCAGTGTCCCTGGGTGAGTGGCTGAACTGGGGATCCGTGGTGAGGATTATGCTTGTTGCGTTGTTGTTGTTTGTTTGTTCATTTGCTTGTTTGTTGTCGTCCCCCCTGCGACCTGCCCGCGACCCACCCGCGACCCAGCCCGCGACCCAGCCCGCGACCCAGCCCGCGACCCACCCCGCGACCAACCGGTGACCCACCCGCGACGCACCCCGCGACCCGCCCGTGACACACCCCGCGACCCACCCCGCGACCCAGCCCGCGACCCACCCGCGACCCACCCGCGACCCCCCCACGACCCCCCCCCGCGACCCAGCCCGCGACCAAGCCCACACCCACCCGCGACCCACCCGCGGCGACCCATCCCGTGACCCGCCCGCGACCCACCCGCGACCCATCCGCGGCCGGGCCCACGACCCACCCGCGACCCACCCCGCAATCCATCCACCTTGCTTCAACGAAAGAATCGGCGCCTGCGGCGGGCTCACTGCATGAGTTGTAAAAGCTAGGCGCCTGCGGCGGGCTTCTTCAGAGCCTCACAGACTGACGACATCCGCGCCACCCTCTCACACTTATCCGCAACTGCGGGGTGCTACGGATCCATTCAAATCAATCCGAAAGATGCCTTGCCGTGTCGAAATATTGCTTGGTGCCCACTGTCCCCCCCCCCCGGAGCCCCGAAATGGCACCGGAAGGCCGCACGAGAACCGCCAAACGGCCTCAGAACACCCCATCAGAGGTCCCGAGACTAGCCCAGGCGGCCCGCATGCGGCCCAAGATGCTCTCCAGACGGCCCCAGAGGCCCAAAAGATGCCCGGACGGCTCCAAGGCGGCACCCTCGGAGGCCCAAGAAGCGCCCAAGAGAGCCCCAAGGGGGGCCCAAGATGGTCCCGAGATGCCCGCAAGACGGCCAACATGCCTCCAAGAAGGGCCCCGAGCCTGCCAGCGAGGGTTCCAAGACGGCCCGAGATGATCTCAATACGGCCCAAGAAAGCCCAAGACGCCCCAAAAGAGCCCCAGGACCCCTAAAAGTGCCTGAAGAAGCCAAATTCATCGACTTCACTTTGGTTGTCGATCGCTCCCTGCAGCTTGCTGGCATTCGGCGAGAACGCAGCTTCGCGAGGGATGGACACCTCGACCCCTTCTGCGCAAAATTTGGGGGACTCCCTTGGAGAGTGAGCCGAACAAGGACTGCAGAGGATCAGACGCCAGACCCTAGCGCCGTGGAGTTCATCCACGGGTCCACACCTTGCCAGAACGACAGGGCCGTTTTTTCACCGGTTCCGTGTTGCCGTATTTTGCAAGTTGTTCCGACGCCATTTGTTTACCGAATCCATCGCAACTTGTTCTCTGGTTCCGGCTCCGATTCCCATCGCGGAGCCGTTCTTGTTGCTGTTTCCGGTCGCAATGTTCGTTTACCGTGTCCATTTGCAAGAGACGCTGTTGTTCGGAAACGGTGAAAAAAGCGGCCCTGCCGTTTTCGGGGCCCGCTAAGGTACACACTAGCACGTGTGTACATATACATAGGTGTATACATACATATGCGTATGTGTGTTATGTGTACTCGTGTGTGCATCCATGCTATCTATAAATCTTGGTGTATGTGGAAATACGCGTGCAAATATAGGAAAGAAAATAACCGGACTATGTATCCGCTACCATGCCTTCAGCAGGAAATGAAATGCCGAAAGGCTCATCAGTTACCAGTGTCCCGAAGATCCACTATAAGGTGTCCAACAAACACAATTTGATCTTTCTGAACGTCGTGAACTTAAAATCTTCACGGTCTCGCCTGTCAAGGCTTCCGACGCTGAAAGGCGGCCCAAGATGACCCAAATATCGCACCACAACGGTCCAAGAGCCCCCAACAGAGCCCCAAGAATGCCCAAGAGGGCCCCAAGGCGGCCCAAGCTTACCCCAAGACGGCCCGAGAGGGGGGACACGAATTCATATCTCGAGACCTCAGCCGCAAGATGACCCCCGAGACCGACAGCAAGTCCCCGAGAGGCCCCCAAGATCCCCAGGCGGCCCCCAAGAGGGTCCAAGACCCCCCCCCAGAAGAACCTGACTCCAAGAAGCTTCCGAGATGCCTCCAATGATATCCCACCAGGCATCCACGACGCCTGTGACATACAACCCAGGCGCGCTGACGGCATGACTCGAATGCCGCTTTGTATAACATGAGCACACCTATACACATGCGACATATACAAACAGGAAAAAGAGAGGGACTTGGAACACGGGTGGCGGATTGGGAGACCCAGAGAAGAAAGAGAGCGAGAGAGAGAGAGAGAGAGACAATACAACAAATAAACCAAACAGACCAAGGCCGCCTCCGTGCTGGCGCGGGCAACGGCGAAGGGGGCGATCGAAGCCGCAGACTGCGGGGTCGCATCCTCGGGCTCGGGAAGGGATCTCGGCATCGGAGCAGGCGGAGGGGGCAGCACGGGGAGAGGCCGGGCGCAAGGAAGGGAACGAGGGTGGGCGGAGGCAGACAACGACTGGGCACAATAGCAGGAAGAAGTGTCGGGGGCGTCCAAAAGGTGGGCGTCCAAGAGGAGGTTCGCAAATCATGGCCCGAGGCATGTGCGCCGCTCAGGGGTGGCCAGGGGGCGTATTCAAATAAGAAGAGGCGCCACGATATTTGGAGGATACCATTCATGGCCACGGACATGAGATCCACCCCCCAAAGTCATCACACCCCTCTTGGCTGCCCCCGAAACTAGATGGAGAGGACAACAACGAGGACGAGCGGCGACGACTAGCAACAACAGGGAGAGAAAACGTGTTTCCCGACGTCCTCTCCACCCCGTCCTCGCCTCCGCAGGTGCAACGACTCATAACGCAGTCGAGAACAAAACGTGTATTTCATACTACTCCTCTTCATCTCCCGCAACATCGAAACAACATCGGACCGATATAAATCGGGAATATCTAAGAACTGGCGGGTTTGGATGATGTCTCTGGCGCCGCGGCTGTTTCAGAACGCTTTGGGACGCTGTGAGAGCGTTCTGGAACGCTCTGGAACGAATGTATACCGAGTCTAGGCCCGTCCGACATCCTCCCTCTTTCCCATTTCCCAGGGTCGCGGGTGGGAAGCGGGTGGGTCGGTTGGTGGGTCGGGTGGATCGCGGGTGGGTGGCGGGTGGGTCGCGGTCTTGGTCGCGGGTGGGACGACGAGCACAAACAACGAACAACGCGAACACAACAACAACAACAAAAAACAACAACCAACAACAACATCATCAACAACAACAGCGACAACAACACCAACAACAACAACAACAATCATTTAAGACTGGGGACACTCCGTTCTCACCAGTGCCAGGGTTTTCATAGGAGGCGGGCAATACCCCCACTTTGTGGGGGGGCCGGTTCAAGCTCTACCAAGTTTCCAAATGACTCTTCGCCACCACCCACACCCAGCTTCCCGCCCTATGACGTTCGGACACTTCACTTCGTGGCCTGCGGACGACCTTGGCTACTACACTGGCGCATGGGTACAATGACTTGTTGTGGTAACATTTTGTGGAAGCTAGCTTAGTATACGACTTTTCCCCCTGCAATTGAAGATTTCGGCGTGCGCGCGCGAAGAAAAAACGAATGTGTCCCATATGGTATTATTTGACAGGGATGATGGCCCTGGCAGGCGCGCAACCTTTGTTGCAGAAGTTCGAAGCACGTGAAAAAGTTGCTCGCAAGAGCCCGTTTGACAGAAATGTTGAAAAAGTATTGGGTTTCCTAAGAAATCCGCAAGAGCGCGCGGGGTGAATTTTTGAAACCCTTTTTTTGAAAAACCATTGGGTTTTTCATGTTTTTATGTGAAAATCGCTACGAAGACTAAGGTTTTGGAAGGATTTCGTCTTGCGCGCGCGAATGCGCACTTCGTGTCATTTTTTGCAAGGGATTCTTGAAGTTTGGTCATGTTAGAACAAGAAATGTCCACTTTGCCTTATTTGTTGCAAGGGAAAACCGATCGTAACAACACAACCGGATCTGGACCAACCCGTTTTGCATGAGACTTCCTCACGAAAATGATGAAAATGTGGCTGCGGCCGAGGCGCGGCGGGGGGGGCGTGCACCAGGGGTCCCAACAATAATTATTCTTTAGAAGTAATAATGTTCAACAACAACAACAACAACAACAACGACAACGACGACGACGACGGCGACTACAGCAACACCACCAACAACAACAACACCACCACCAACAGCAACAATACGCACCGCGAAACCCCATTGCACAACCACGCACCCAAAAACCATGAGAAACAGGTCGGCCCATTCACTCTGGCCAAGAACCGTTACGTAGTTAGACTCCCCCCAATGGGCACCTTATCATTTTGTCAGCGACCGCATTGACGGATTGGGGTCCCACCAATAATGTAACATAAGTATGTATCCGCGGCACTTGCCGCACAACAACGACGACGACGACTACGATCACGACTACAATCACGATTTCAATCATGATCACAACCACGACTACGATCACACAGCCACAACCACATGTTCCTATTGACATTATCATTCGAAGATGCTCACGAATCCTCTCGCGTGTAGCGCGGGCCGCAATGGGCTATTTCCTGGGAGAACGAACACGACTCCAGTCGCGACTACAATCACGATTCCAATCACGATTACGAGCACGACCACAATCACGACTATAAACACAGCAACAACTGATTCCGATTGCAAACAGCATGCGATGATTATTACATAACCTCTCGCGTGTAGTGTAGCCCATCATGGATCACCCCTGGAAGAAAGGACCCCCCGACATCATCCAGCCCGCCCAGCAGTATAGGGGAAATAAGATCCACCGCAATGACGACGAAGACGACGATGACGAAGACGACGGAGACGACGACGACAATGACGACTTCGAAAGCGACCAAGAAGACCAGGAGAGGGACGAGGAGGAGGAGGAGGAGGAGGAGGAGGAGGAGGAGGAGGAGGAGGAGGAGGAGGAGGAGGAGGGGGGGAATGAGGAGGAGGAAGAGAAACTAAAGACCGGCTGAGGTTAGTGCCAGGGGTGCGCTCGAACCAACATGACGAACCGAATCCAGCCGGTCACGGCATCACTATACCTTGACATTCGAGGACTTGATTTTCAATCCCAGAAGTCCTGGCCCTTCCCCCCGAACTAATCTTTCGCCCCAGATCCGTTGATGGTTCCGGGGCGGGCCCAATAAACAGGCCCAGGAGGCCGCCGAAATCGAGAAACTACCAAACTGAACCAAAACAGACCTCTGGATAGAAAACATGGCTCCGGCCATGATGCCCGCTAGGACACGGAGACATGCGTCCGACCCGAACATCTAAAACAACCATCTTCAAGTATACCGTTTCCCGAGCGGTACGGCCAGAAGGCGCCCGCCTCAGAGCCTCTACTATAAGATTGCTCGGCGCGCGCGTCGTCCCTTGGGGTGCGACGGACACATAGTACTAGTATAATTGGATGGCGCCGATCCACCCCCCAGTCATCACCAGCCTTGCAACCACTGACTACCTACCGGACCACCCCAACCCAACCCGAAGACCCGAATTTCGGGTTGGGGGGGGTAAGGGTTCCTCATGTGTTTTTTCGATGTTTCCCGTCCCCCCCCACTAGAAATCGGGGGTACATCTGAGCCTTCGGGTTGGGTTGGGGTGGTTTGGTGGGTGGTGAACCACCCCCGATGAAAACGTCCTCGGACCTCGATCCTCGAGCCTCGCGCGGGGCGGGCAGGAGGAGGGCCCCAGTCGTCGGACCCGGCCAGGCTGCAGGCCCGCGGCGACTCGGGTGGGCCCAGCGCGGCAGCGGCGCCCGCGGCGGGGCTGGCCTCTGGCGTGGCAGTCCAGGAGAGAGAGCAGGGGGATCGGCGGCGAAGGGGGGGGAGTGGGAAGGCGAAGGCCTCCTCAGAAGGCGCCCTCTGAAGGGTTTCCTGCGTCCTCGAAGGAGAAGAACACGGAAAGGCGACACTAACTCCGCCAGGGCGAGGAGATGCGAGGAGGCAAGGGGGGTCTCCCTGGTGGTGTGGCCCCCGCCTCTCGCTCAAGACATCCCCAGCCTCCAGCTCGGGGAGGCATCGTGGACCTCCTCGCTGGAGGCGGTCCCCCTGGTGGTGTTGGTATCGCTTCTCCTCCCTCCGATTCGGAGACGGCTCAGGAAACTTCTCAGGTGGCCAGGGGACTTCCGAGCCTTCTGCGAAGGCCGTCTCCTTCTCGCTTCCCCCCTGGGCTCGCCGCCGAGAGGAGCGACCCAGCCACCTCATTCTCCGCCTCATCCCGATCCCCTCGCGCGCGAACACCCTGCGGCATCTTGGGTGAAATGGCCACGGGGGCATCACGGACATATCATGACAGATCTCCAACCAATGAACGTGCGACTCACTGGAACCGAGGGCGATGCACAAGAAACGACTTACTGGCATGGCACCCCCAAAGGACGCTGGCAACGAGGTAACGGTCCACATGCTAACGAATCCAAGACGGCGCAAGCCCGAGACCACCGGCCTCAGCCCCTTCCCCAAGTCTGCACTCTGCCAGTGACGGAAACAAGCGTACACAGCAACGGATCAGGGCGAACTGGATTGAAATGCCAGCACCGCCTGCCAAGCAATTGCGAATTGCCCCAAAACTCTGGAAGTGGTGGTCTAAAGGGTTTCCACCTGTTCACTGCCTCGTCAGTGAGGGCTTTGAAACTGCTCGTCAACAAGTGATGCCTAATGCCATGAGACCCGCCGCCAACCAGGAGCAGCGAGCCCCGCCAACGAAGGTTGGCTGGCGTGGCCCCCGAAACAGTGCAGCGTTTCACTGCGGGCGCCCACGAGGCGCGGCACGGTGGCGCATCCTCGGCAGACCACCCGCTGGCCATCGCTCGGACGTCCATTCCCTGTGTTTTTCGGTTTCGCGCGTGGCTTTTTCGCCAAATGATCAAGGATGCTCCTCGATGGTCCTCGCCGCGGAAAAAACGCACACGTCCGAGCGATGCCGAGCCCAAGCGCGGAGCTCCCGCGAGGCGGCGCGGGCGCCAACCCGGCGCAGACCCGACAGACTCCCCCCCGAGCGCGTGGGCGCCCGTGGGGCGACAACGACGAGAAGGCACGGGCGGCAGCGCGGCGCGCAGACCCAGCAGTGCCCCCCCGAGCTCGGGGCGCCTGCGAGGCGGCACGGGGGGCAGCGTGGCAGAGCCAGCATACCCAAACAGGCCGACAACTTTTGGAGGCCTGGAAATTGGCACCAACACCAGCACAGGGGGTTGCCTCCACATGGGAAAACTGATCCTAGATGTCGGTGTTGGTGATAATATTTCGGTCACCTTGGAAACCCACATATTACCACCATCACCGAGATCGGGATCGCCTTCCCTCGGTGGAGGCACACCGCCGATCTTGGTGTTGGTGTCAACCTCTAGGCCTGCGAAACTTACTTGAGCAGGGCAAGCAGTGGTTGAGACCGCATCCCCGACAAAAAAGAACGCATACAAAAAGACACGCGGCGGTAGCATCTGAATCGCCAGCTGAAATCCCACGAGCACGTTGCGCAGGTCCTCGACAGGGATTGAGGTGGGGGATCCTACTTGGTCGCTGCAAGCTGGTCCCCCTATCCCGATCACGAACCACTCCAAACTAATGGCGGGCGCAGGCGCCACATGCAATGCTGGCAACCCCGCCACAGCTCTCGGTAAATAGTACTCGATGTGTGTATGATGCCACGTGCCCTGGCGCACCTGGCGTACTCCGCGGGCGTCGCACCTGGCGCATCTGGCGCATCTGGTGCACCTGGAGCGGGTGGCATATCATGGGGCGCGTGGAACGCGTTGCGCATCTGCAGCGCCCTGCGCGCCTGGCACGCGTGGGCCCGCGGGGGCACCTGGCGCCCCTGACGCGCGCGGTGCACTTGGCACAAACGGTGCACCTCGCGAGCATGGCGCACCTGCCGCCTCGCTCACCTGCCGACTGCAACTGTTGTCGTTGCTGGGTCTCGGCTGCTACTTTAGATGGTGACAAAGTCAGGCGCGTGGGCGTGAGCGAGGTAGATCGAGGCGCTCCCGTTGGGAACGTGGCCCATCCCCCCCTCCCCATCACCCGAGTCTGGACAGGGGAGGCGGCGCGAGGTATCAACAAGTGCTGCCGGGGTCGGGGGCGAGGTATTGAAGAGTCCCGGTTGGCCCAAGATGGCTGCAACGGGGTGCCGGGTAGCTCAATCATGCCTCCCAAATGGCTGATTACGGCTCTCCACGGCTCAAGGTGTCTTCCGACCTGCCTCCCGAGGCCACAGGACCACCCTCAGGTGTCTCCAAGTGTCCAGGGAGCGCCCCCAGGAGACCCCCACGGTCATTCAAACCATAATGGGTTTCAACATGGTTGTGCGTGTTGCTTCAGATGCCCTCCAAAAGGCTCCACGAGCCCCCCCCGCAACAATAAATGAGAAGGCCCCGAACGCTTCCTAAACGGTCCATAAGTGCTGCAAGATGGCCTCAAGAAGCTCCTGGAGCGAAACGCTCCCAACGGCCTCTTCATCCTTCTCCCACCACCTCTCCTCATTCTCACTGTCTCCTCCGCATCCTCATCTCGCTCCTTCTTCGACGACAAGCTCCGCAACTCTACTACGTGTTATGCTCAGGCTGGCTCAGAACTTCGGCTTGGCCGCAGACTCACCTGCCTGGCCCACTGGCTGTTCCTACACTGTGCTACTCGATGAAACTCGCCTGGCGACCGTTCCTGGATGGTCTGGTGGGGATACGTGAGGCGTCAATGCGCATGTAATTACTGTGTTCCTGTTGGCTGACATTGGGCTGCCCCAGAGCCTGGCTGTCGGCACTGCTGCGTCCGCCGCTCTCCTCGCGGAGCATTCTGCTGAGGTCTGCCAGCGCCTGCTCTGGCGGGGTGATGTCCTGACGGTTTGCTCTTGCAGAGGCAGCGTGCGCCCGACCGAATCAAAGGAGGATGAGACGGTACACGCGTCAATAGAACAACTGATCCACGGTAAAATTTAAAAACCCTAATAAGGACGCGCGGCAAGGACGCAAGACCCTTGGAAGCCGAAGTTGGGATCTTTGGGGCGGCGGACGACGAAAACCTCAAGGACGCAAGAGCAAGGAAGAGCAAGGACGCAAGGGTACCCTGAGCAAAGTCGCGCGTCCTTATTAGGGTTTTTGACTGTAGCCACGTATGCGCCATGTTCGTGAGACGGCACATGCAGTACCTTGCGTATCGACTCTCGCTTGGGAAACTGATCACGCGCGCCAGTGCGAAGCCGTGCACATCCACCACCGTGCCCGCTGGCGCCATGGGGCGTGGATGCGCCAGGGCTGTCTGTCTGGGCGTTTGTCATTTTCCGAACGCCCCCCTTCCTGACAGCGCCCAACTGCTCATCTCGGACGTTGCCGAATTAGAGGGCATGAAATCCACTCCCATGAGAAGCACCCCGACAAGCGAAGCCGTTTAGTAAACGCACCCAAGGAAGAAATCGAACAGGGCACGCCTATGCAGTAACCGACCAGAGCTGCTCAGTAAACGTCAACTGTCGGGTTCTGGGTGGTTTTCCTCCCCATGATTCATAGGGGGCGTCAAGCGTGGAGGGGGAGGGGGGAAAGAAAGTGCACCCTTCGTGCACCTTCGTGACCCCGGCGGGGCCCTCCAGGCCCACCCTTCCTGGGACCCTCGCCCCCCGCCCCCCACTCCTCGCCGCCACGTCACGAAACGCTCGATGGCACCCCTCCTCGCTCAATTCGGGGCCAACGATGGGGCGGGATAGGCGTAAGGGGATGCATCGATCCCCACTCGCCCATTCATCGCCCGTAGGGGCCCGATAGCCCCAACCTGCCCAGGAAGATAGGGATTCACTGCCGGAGGCCTATCGCTGATCAATCGGCGATGTATCGCTGATTCCACGTCGATGCATCCCCCTTTGTGCCAGCCTCCCCCTATCGTTGCCCATCCTATCCTCGATGCTCCACTGGCGTCCCCGGCGACATCCTCGCCGGCGATGTCCCAGGCTTTCCGGAGAGCAGCGGCGACTTTCAGGGCAGCACCAGGCGGCCTCCGAGGCCGCCAGGATGGCCAAAGGATGCTGCACGAGTGACCCCGCAGCCCCCACGCAGCCCAACGAGGCCCCCCACAAGGCCTGAGGGGTCTGTAAGAGCTCCAGGACACCCATGGGAGGCACGCGCATTGAGAAGCATGGTCCATGACTATGGTTTAGTTGTTGCGCTCCCCAATCTCTGTGCCACGGCAATGCCAAACGGCACAAGCTGCGGCCCTCTGGGATGTCGGCATGTCAACTGTCACACGCTATGGCCTTTTCATACACAGGCAAACAGAATGCCACATCATGCCACGTGCCCCTGGAAAACGGGGAAAATGGGTATCACCACATGTTACGGCTCGAATGCCCTGGAACAAATCTCAGACTAGAAACTACACGGCACGGCCTATCGAGTCAGCAGAAAATATGTTTCAAATAATGCGGTCCCCCTTCTGGGGTATATTTAAGAGGGCTTCCACACGCGACAGTCTCCTGAACCATTCCAGACGGGTCGCCACACTATGTACTGCAGCGGCACGGTGGACCTTGCCGCAAGCAAATGGGTGATCGCAATTCGACGCGCGTCTTACGTGCCACAACTCCTGACATGATGCTCCTCTTCCTCCTCGTCGTCCTCCTCCTCCTCCTTCCCCCTTCATCCTCGCATTCCACCTCCTCCTCTGCACCGACCAGGTGGGACACGACAAGCTCGCGTTGGGCATTCAGGATCACCCAGGCCGCGCGCATAGAAACCCGACGACCTTGCAGCTCGGGGCAGGCGAAGCCGCGTAAGCGATTGCCGATTGCCGATTGCCGATTTGAAACCGGTCCGTGGAGGACAACGTTAAGGGAAAACCGGCTCACGGGGGGAACCATCGAGCTTGAATCGGCGATGCGTCGTTGACGGGGCGGCGATACAGACAACCCGTATCAAAAGGACGTGCGATGAGGATGCAAGGGTCTTGGAGGCCGCTTCAAAGCTTCGCGAGCGGGGCGCGGCCAGCGAAATTGGCCAAGGATGGACCGAGGAGACAAGGATGCAAGGGTACCCTTGGGAAAGCTAAGACGAAGCCAGGACAAAGATAACATCAGGGGAAGATAAATCAAAAATCTCTGAGATCTGGCCGATCTGGAGGATGTATCGGGCGCCGCGGCCTTCTCAGAGCGTTTCGAAACGCTTTCAGAGCGTTCCGGAACGCTCTGTAACGGATTGATCCTCGTCTTACTGCCCGACGACCGTGAGACTCTACTGGGAGCTCTGAGCAGCTGTGGTCTGCCTCTGGACATGGCGAACATGACTGCGCAATTGACCTGCACTGGACTTTCATGTGAAAAGGCCCTGCCAAAGGTTCCAGCGAACGACACCGAGCGGCGGGATTTGCTCAAGGCTACCCTTGTTATCCCCACATCTGTTCGTAATACTTAAGGCTGTCATGTTCCGCGACATCAACAGCATAATGGCAGGTCTTCGTACCGACACTCAAAGGCTGGAAATGTGGTATGTGGGAATCTCCCACACGCTGGTGACACAATGCTGCTAAGCAGCAGTTCGGAGAAAAGACGGAACCTTCTGAATATTGTGATTGACACAAGCAAGCGATACGGCTTGGAACTAAATTGAGATAGAGCTGTCTGTGCGCGCACATAATACGGAAACTGTTGTTTCTACTGCTGGGTGCAATTTCAAATTGTGGATCAAGCGGTGTATCTTGGAGGGCTGCTGCACGTAGATTGTGTAGCTCAGCCTGAGGTCACCAGGAGAGTCGTTGAGTCCATAAAGATGCTCAAGAATTTGTCCCA